AAAAGTGACTGTTTCAAGAAAACAAGTATGGTTAAAATATTAAACATTAAGTCTTTAAAATAAACTATTAAAAGTGCTGATAATCTTCTGATCTGATAGTCTTTGATTTTAAGTGTTCTATTGGCATCTTTTAGGTTGTATTTCTGCTTTAATGCGCTTTTTAAATAAATCAATAAAAAACAAAGCAGCTGTTTGCCATCGTGACAGCTATAAGACCCAATGGATGGCTAATCACTTTCACTCTAGAATGGCGAAATCGCTGGGCGCTGCTGTTGCAATGGAATGTTCTATTGAGTGTCGCTTTTTGGTGATTCTATGCTCGTTGACGTTAGTAAGCAGTTCATAAAAACATCTACAAATGCTGTATTATGATCTTTAAAAAACTATCCAACTATTCTTAAATAACTGGTTTGGACTGTAAATAATACAATACTTGATTTATTCAGTTATTTGTTCATTTTCCTTTAGTCTCTATTTCAGAGGTCGCCACAGCGGAATGAACCACCATCTATTTCAACATATGTTTTATGCAGCAGATGCCCTTCCAGCTGCAACCAAGTATTGGGAAACACCCATGGACACTCATTCATTCACACACACACACACACACACACACACACACACACACACACACACACACACACACACACACACACACACACTCATACTCTATAACCTTTCAAGCTTAATTCACTTATAGCGTAAATCTTTGGACTGTGGGGGAAACCAGAGCACATGGATAAAACCCACGCAAACACAGAGAGAACACGCAAATTCCACACAGAAACTAACTGCTCATCTCCATATGAACTGGTTTTCCGCTTTTACCAAAGCAGAGTTGACCATGACAATGGGATTTAAGTCCAGTGAAGAACGATTCCAGAAAGCACGACAAAACAAAAGCCAAAAAATAAAATAATTAAGTAAATATCAGTGTGAAAATGTGGTAAAATCTGAAAACAGTAAAAATTGGAGGGCTTTTCTTTTTCTGGATTTCTTTTTAAAATACTGAGGTTGGGTTTAGCTAAGGGGGTGGGTGGATCAATTGGTGCTTCTTTAAACACTATTGGTTGGTTTTAGTGAAGGGGGGTGGATCAGTCAGTAAGTCAATCAGTCGACAGCAGCCTCTGGTGGATTTACATGAGAACAGCAGGCACAAATGGCACTCGAGAGAGAAATTTGATCTCTAAAATCATACACAGCAGCCTCTGGTGACTTAGCAAAAACTGCAGAAACGTGGAATGTAAATTGTAGCTCCTAGGATGTGATTTGCTCTCTTCAGAAATGTATATAGGGGTACGTAATCAGACTGATCCTGGGTTGGAGGCAACAGTGCTAACCACTGAGCCACCGTGCCACCCATACTTAATTTAGTAATGAAAAATGGATTATTAACAAAGCATGAAAAGCAATTAAACATGTGCTTTTATGTCAGGAATAAAGCATTTGTTACTGTATTTACAAACTTTCATGAACTGCTTAATGTAACATTTATATATTGCTTACTAACATCTATTAATATAAAGTTAATGCTTAACATATAACTATCAACTATTTGTTAATGCTTCATAAAAGATTCATAGTTTGTAGCTATTATGAAGTGTTACCACATTTTATAGTTAGTATTAGCGAATGATTAAACTGGCTGTTTGAACTGAACTGTATTAAAATATCTTATCGCTCTCATAACCACAAGTTGTGATGATGAATATATGTGAATCTGGTCCCCTGGCATGTAATCATCAGAAATATATCGCAACTTTTTCGTTTATTTGTTTGTTTGTTTATATGAGCAATAAAATATGTAATATGTTTAAAAGATTCAACATCCTGTCCATATTCAGTGTTTCTAAAGATTTACCTCAGCACACATGCCTTAATGGCCTTGCACAACATGCATCATTGTACTGTACTTATGCTTTTTAAAAGTACTGTGGAAAGAGAGGTCTGCTTCTTCCCTCACAAATGCACCAAGCACACAATTATCTCAGCTGTTTGTCCTCCTGCCAATTCAACAGGCTTCATATTGCCATGTATTGCTCCATTGATACGTTTCACTCTCTTTTGCCCTCCTTTTCATTCTTTCCCTCTTCCTGTCTGTTTCTCGATGGTGCTGAGTGTGTTGTCATGGTGATATCCATCTGTCCACGGTGTGAGTGTGTGATGTCTTATTGATGAGACAGTGTGACTGTGTGCCAGAGACATCCATCCTGCCTGCTAAACAGCACACACACACGGGCACACACACACACGGGCACACACACACACACACACACACACACACACACACACACACACACAAACACACACACACACACACACACACACACACACACACAAACACACACACACACATATAGTTTTTGGTGGTCATGCTGAACAACTCACACCTGTCACCTCTGTTGGACAGAGGACACACACACATGCTCAGACTGCTTGTTGCTTAAGGCAAGACACTGCAGGTGAATGGTAAAAAAGTAGTTAAAAAATACAAATAGTTATCACTACTTCCCTGGTTTATTAGTTACATAATATACTGTGTGATATAAAATGTACAATTTTTATTTTCCTAGCACACATTAATATTTTTTAGGTAAACAATTAATTGGTCCAAGTAAATTCACAGAATAAAAATGTTTGTTTCGGTAATCTTTAATCAAAATTAGACAATTTAATTTGATGTCTGGGGTCGCAGCCCTTCTCCGTTGACGTCAATTTGCCGGGTTCAGCCACAACATTCTTAACCCAGCCCCCTTACTGTTATAATGCCATGAGGGCATGACGTGCAGCAAGAAAGCCCCACCCCTACTCAATATTATATTTCAGTGGGGTATAGGCTGGTCAGCCAGCCTCAGGGCTTCCGCTTAATGTCATCCCATACAAAATCACAGCGCCAAAGGTCTGATTTCCTTAAAAAACAGCGATCTTCACTGTCTGGCTAAGATACGATAAAACGTGGGTATCAGACCAAACAAGAAGCACTGCATTGGACTATATTTTTTAGCTTCATGTCTTTTAAAATAAGGAAATTTATTTCAACTCAGTATTTTCAATGGAATTTCTGCATTGGCCTGCGACTAATGACGGCGCCTGCGTTTAAACGTTTTTTCGTCTCTTCTTGCGCTTTAGCTAAATGAATGCTTAAGTATATATAACTGGTTATATTTGAATTACATTACAGCATCGATTCTGTAAAAGTAGCCGTATGAAATTGAAAATAGTCACATAAAGCTTTCCCCGGAAGTTTACCGGAAGTTCATCATTGGCTGGAAAACACTAGCTGTGCATATAGCTTGTTGTAAGTGCATCAACATACTGAAATAAAAATCTCAGCAAGGTCTGACAAGAATGGCTACATGATTTTAGTGATTGTTTTCTAAAATGTTATGTTTAAATTAAAGCCAAAGCCATATCATCCTGCAGCACAAGACCGGTTACTCATTAAAGCTAAGCAGGGCTGAGCCTGGTTAGTACCTGCATGGGAGACCACAAGAGAAAAGTTACTCAATCTGTGGTCTGTCTGAGTCATGCCACATTAAAGTGAAGGGGACACTATATTATCAGTGAGAACCGTCTTTCGGATGAAACGTTAAACCAAGGACCTGACTCACTGTGGTCATTAAAAATTCCATGTAACCTAAATTCCTTCCATCGGCTTTTACCTATCATGGCCTTCCAATTATCCCCAACCAATGAATTGGCTGTATTACTGTCTATCCACTCCTTCTATAGCTGGTGTGTGGTGAGCGCACTAGCCCCGTTGTCCTGTGGCTGCCGTCGCATCATCCAAGTAGATGCTGCACACTGGTGATGGAGTGGGGAGACCCCCCTCATGATTGTGAAGCGGTTTAGGTGTATGGCTATACAAAATATATGCGCTATATAATACACAAAGACCCCTTTCACATTTACGAGTTTCTCAGGAGCAGAAGGCATTCATCAAACTTAGAGTGCACTGAATTGGAGAGTATAATACATTTTTTTTTTCAATCCTTTTTGCTGAAATAAAAAAAAAACTTCTTGATAGGGTTATCAAGACTTTCAGAAGAAGAAAAAAAATGTGTGATGACGGCAGCCAAAGGAGAGAATAAAATCAAATTTACTGTCCTGCCCCATAAACGCTGCATTAGAAACACCTCGCCTAAGTGGTAGTGATATAACAAATTATATAATACATACATAAAAACATTTAAATGTTCATACATTTAAAAAAAAATCTAAATATTAAAAACTTTCAAGGATTTAAAAATATGATGACGGTTAAACGTGTTTAAGTCTTGTGAAAATGGTCAATTACTTACGTTTTACTTGTGCTGTAGGATTATTCTATAAGAACATGAATCTGTCAAGTTTAGTGTATGTAACAGCTGCTGAATTGGAAATTTCTGACTAAACAAAACTCATTTTGAAGAAAAAATCTTTCTTTTTATTAGACTAATGAAGTTTTAATAAAAATCTAAAAAGCCTAAAATTTCAAAGTTGACAGGTGCAGAAGAAAAAATGTGTTTTTGCCTGCAGTGTCTTGCCTTAATATGCTAGACAGCTCACACCTACACGAGCCGAAGGACACACACACACATACAAGCATACCCACACACAAACTCAGAGATTGATTAATTTGAATTAAACATTTGGTGGTGTTCTTGGAAAGGTCTTCATTGTCACTCACGCTGGCTGCAGTGATGTGTATTGTCCTCTGGTGAGCCTCTGCTTCTGTTTTACCTTGATATTCATTAGCCTTTTCGTGGAGATGTGCGGACTTGATTTAATTATTAGTCGCTCCATCATTTCGCATCCTTGTGTTTGAGAGTTTTTGTGTCACCGTGTTCAGTAAAAGTCAGTTAACTTGATCTTGGTGTTACATTACTGTACTCTTGAAGTGGCATCCAGATTGTAGTTGACTTGAATTGGTTGTTTGGTTTGTGTTTTCATGCATGGTCACCTGTTGCGTGTAGTGATCGCTCTGTCACGACTAACCCTTTTGCCTTGCCCCCTCACAGTACATCTATTGTCAGAGACGCTGCAGTGTGTGACGGCCACAGCCACGGGGATCCAGTACCAGCAGTCCTGGCTTTGCATCCTGTAAGTGTCCTTCCATACAAGTGTTCTCATATGCAGTGCAGAGCCTTGAGAGTTTCTAGAGCAGGGGTGTCTGCAGAAATGTTGACAGTGATTACAATATAATAATAATAATAATAATAATAATAATAATAATAATTATTATTATTATTATTATTATTATTATTATTATTGTTAATAAAAGTCTGGTAAAAACATCAAAGTTTATTAATTAGTTTTAAAATATTTTTAATTTTTAATTTAAAGATAATTTAAAGACATTTAAACAAAGCAATTATATTCCAAGTGTTTGTTGTTTTTGTTTGTTTGTTTGTTTGTTTGTTGTCAACTCTTATGGTTGCAACACAGGCTCATTGTAAGTACGTACCCTTGTATACACTTCTGCTACGTATGGCTGCATTTTGTCTTCAAAAAGAACGCTATGAGGCGGTGTGATGCTGCCGACTTCTGCGGTTTCTTTTTGTGCTACCAACTGACGCTTACCTCCATGTTAACGGCCGTTACATTGTTACCAGTTTACCCAGTAGCTTGCCATGTACTTTGGAGAACTTGAGATGCAAAGAGAAGTTGATCGCGACGACGGGTTCAAGTCCGGTGAAGAAAAAAAAAGCAGATAAAACAAAATTTAAAACATAAATAAACAACTAAATAACAGGGCATGATACGATACGAAAATGTGGTATAAATCATGTGGCCACGAGGGCTTTTCTTTTTCTAGATTGCCTTTAAAAACACTGTCGGTTGGGTTTAGGAAAAGCGGTGGTCAGGTCAATCTGTGGTTTTGAAAAGACTATTGGTTAGGTTTAGGGAAGGGGGTGGGTGGACGGATCGGTCGGTCAGTCTGTCGACACCTCTGGTGGATTCACAGGAGAACAGTAGGTGTGAATGGCACTCGCGAGACAAGTTTTATATCTTAAAAGTTTACACAGTGTCCTCTGGTGGATTTACAAAAAAAAAAAAAACACTACAGAAAAACGAACCTCCTGGGATGTATTTCACAATCTCCAGAAATGTATACAGGGGTATGTATCAATAATAAGCCTGGGTTACTATTATTGATCGATATATGCTGAAAATTGCATCATGGTTACCATAAAAATATGAATCAAAAGAACATAGTTTCAAACCATTTGTTGGGCAAAGAATCCTTTATGATAACTTCAGTGACATTGATAACATATATATATACATATACGCATATCTTTTTTAAATCATGAAAGGTTAAAAGTCTTGTAATAACCCGAGTGCCACTCCAAGGTTTTTCCAATAAGTGATTCAATGAGTGCTCTATAAAGGGTTAAACTAATTCTGTGCAACTTGTTGATTCATAGAGATATTACTAAAGGTTATTTGCTCATAGTAATAATAATAAAAACTTAAGTAAACTCAATTGCACAAATGATGTGATTAGTCTATTAGTGCAGTTCAGTTAAAATGAGTGTAAACACTGGCATACAGAACCTCAGTGCTGACCAAATAAGTTGTACACAAAAAAAGATGTTTTAATCAGTCACCCTCTTTTAACTGACAAATCTATATATAGTTGTCATATCTATTCGTTTTATCAAATTCCTCTCTGTGCCACCAACAGGGTATATTCTGTTTTGCAACAGACAAACTAAATGAAAAAAATATAGAGCTAGGTGTCAAGTCTAACTTCAGCAGGTAGCCAGAAAGATGAGAGATGCTTTGAATGTTTGTACATGTAGCTAGTGAACTCTATCCATAAAAAAGACCAATAAATGGACTCTTCTGAGGTCAGTGGCCAGCCCACATGTACAAAGTGCTCAGAAGAAGTAGCTGTGTCAAAAGTACAACTTCAGATGATACTTCTAGACACCTCAATACAGAAGAGGTGAAGGACTGTAGAAAAAACAGTCAAGGGTGAGTCATTTCAAAAGAGGCTCTCAGAAAAAGCAAGTTTGTTATTATCGCTATTGAAATTCCTTGCCAGGAATGAAGAGTTCTCAAACAACGAATCATCAATTAAAATTTTGAATTTGGAATTATAATGTGCTGCTAAAGCAGTGCCAACTATAACAAGTTTGTTGAGGTGTCAGGCAGGCATGGTTCATTTGAAACTAGACGAATACTGTAGATATGCATTGGACCCTGTTCCCAACTCTGATATATGGCAATTACATACAGTTGAAGTCAGAATTATTAGCCCCTCTTTGATTTTTATATTCTTTTTTAAAATACTTCCCAAATGATGTTTAACATAGCAAGGAAATTTTTACAGTATGTCTGATAATATTTTTTCTTCTGAAAAAAATCTTATTTGTTTTATTTCAGCTAGAATAAAAGCAGTTTTTAATTTTTAAAAGCCATTTTAAGGTTAAAATTATTAGCCCCTATAAGCTATATTTTTCCCTGATAGTCTACAGAATCAACCATCGTTATACAATAACTTGCCTAATTACCCTAACCTGCATAGTTACCCTAATTAACCTAGTTAAGTTTTTAGATGTAGCTCTAAGCTGTATAGAAGAGTCTTGAAAAATATCTAGTAAAATATTATGTATTGTCATTATGGCAAAGATAAAATAAATCAGTTATTGGAAATGAGTTATTAAAACTATTATGTTTAGAAATGTGTTGAAAAAATCTTCACTCAGTTAAACAGACATTGGGGAAAAAATAAACAGGGGTGCTTATAATTCAGGGGGGCTAATAATTCTGAATTCAACTGTATATGACATATAAATTAATTTTTTGGATTTTAGTATTTTTTTCAGTCATTGGAATTACAAGTATGTGCAAAAATGTTCAAATATGTTAACTTTAATTTGATATATTTTGTACGTGTTTTATATAAACTTAATTGTATATACTGCATTTAAACAAAGGTTGAACAAATATGCCAAAATCTTTATATATTTTTTGCATATCTGATTTCATATACATGAAATCGAAATATGAACTTGCATGCATATGTAATTTGCATATACAATTGAAGTCAGAATTATTAGCCTCCCTGTTTATTTTTCCCCAATTTCTGTTTATTACATTATATACATTATACATACATTATAGTTTTAATAACTCATTTCTAAAAACTGATTAATTTTATCTTTGCCATGATGACTGTAAATAATATTTGACTAGACATTTTTCAAGACACTTTTATACAGCTTAAAGTGACATTTAAAGGCTTAACTAGGTTAATTATGCTATCTAGGCAGGTTAGGGTAATTTGACAAGCTATTGTATAATGATGGTTTGTTCTGTAGACTATCAAAACCAAAATAGTGTAAAGGGGCTAAAAATTTTGACCTTAAAATGATTCTTAAAAAATTCAAAATAGATTTTTATTCTACTCGAAATAAAACAAATAAGACTTTCTCCAGAAGAAAAAAATATGATCAGACATGCTTCCTTGCACTGTTAAACATCATTTGGGAAATATTTAAAAAAGAAAAAAATTGAAAGAGGGGCAAATAATTCTGACTTCAACTTTATATCCATATATCTATGCAGGTATTTTTTTTATTCTTTCTGACCTTGACTTTAATTATTATCTAAATATGCTATTTGTTCACCCCAAAAATGTATTAGCTGGTCTCCTTGACACTTACATACCTAAAGTGTGAATTCGACTTCTACATCAAATGATCAGCATAACCTGCGACATGTGCCTTGCACATAGCCGAGACTTCTGTGAACTCTCTTTGTGTTGCTGTGACAAAAACACAACTGAAACACTAGCCATCAGTGGGGGTTCTTTATTTTTTAACTATTAAAACCGTATCAAAACATTCAACTTAAAATTCGTATAGATTTGTATGTCCTCTGATGAAACGCTGCCGGATCAGTTTGATCATGTGCTGTATAATAATGTGCCTGAGGCTGATGAGGAGGCGGATGGCCTTGGGGAAGAAGTCGCTATAATGGCAAGAGGTTTTTATGTTCTTGTACTTGCGTGTCTGGCTGATTAAAGACAGGTTAGAGGGTCATGCCCAGGATGTGATGAGGATCTCTTCGCTGGCTCTGTGAAAACTGGTTGGTGTTTCTAGTTCTAGTAGTGGGAGGAAGGATTTGCATTAACATACACTTTACTACTACTACTCAGAGTTGCATCCATTTAATCAAGATAAAGTGAAATCAGTAAGAAATGAATTTGTGATTATATGAAACATGCTAATTATACTTGGTAGAATATGTCTTAAAATGTAATATATTCCTGTAATGGCTAAGCTGAATTTTCGGCATCATTAATCCAGTCTTCAGTGTCACGTTATCCTTCAGAAATCATTCTAATATGGTGATTTGCTGTGAATATTTGCTGTTAATTTACTCGCCTCAGGCAATTAAAGATGTAGATAATTTTTTTTCCCTACAGTAGAGCATTAAAGACGATTATTAACTGAATATGTGGTGCCCTGTGGTTCATAAAAAGCAAGTCAATGGCTACAAAAACATATACAGGCAAAACATAGATTAAAAAAAGGATACATATTGCCTATATGTATCATATATTGTATATACTCAGATTACTGCTGTTAATATAATAACACATAACTTTTCTTCTTTGGAAGTATAATTATTGTGAAAGCTTTACAAGTAAACATACATTGAACTGAGCTGTGGCAAAAACAATCATTCTGTGCACAAAACTGGATATTACTTATAAAATGTGCAATTTAGGGTTAGCACTGTCGCCGTACAGCAAGTAAGTTGTTGGTTTAAGTCCCGGCTTTCTGTGTGGAGTTTGCATGTTCCTCCCGTTTACGTGGATTTCCTCCGGGTGCTCCGGTTTTCCCCACAGTTCAAGCACATGCAGTGTAAGTGAATTTAATTTACAAATTTGGCTGTAATGTATGAGTGTGTGTTAATGAGTGTGTATAGGTTTTTCCCAGTACTGGGTTGTGGCAGGAAGGGTATCCGCTGCATAAAACATATGCTGGAATAGTTGGTGGTTTATTCGCTGTGGCGACCCCTGACAAATAAGAGACTAAGCTAAAGGAAAACGAATGAATGAACAAATGTACAATTTATTTTAT